TTAGGGGAGGGGATGGTGTGAATATATGAGGCATAACACATTTTTAAGGCAGCAAATCTATTCAAAATACCCTACTTGTATAATGGTTGATCTGGATTGTCAGGCTGACTGGATTGGAACACACTGTGGAGCACATGTCTGATGTGTTTGTGAGAGTGCTCTGGAGAGGATTGGTGAGTGGGATAGATGATGGATGGGGGTTACCCAGCCCAGATATGGACTGCACTGTCCAGTAGGACGAGGGCCCAGATGGGACAAGAGTGGAAGAGCAAGGAGGCCTGGGAACATAGGTTGTTTACTTTCTCTTTGGTCCCTTACCAAGGCCCTTCTGCCACTCTCTCTCACTGCCACATTGCCCTGCCTTGACTTAGGTTCAACGTCATAGAGCCAAAAGATCAAGGACTTAAACCTCTGAAACGATCAGCCAAGATAGATCTTTTATTCTTAAAGGTGATTTTCTTGGCTATTTTGTTACCAATACAGAAAGCTAACTAGCACAACAGTAGATGTATAACATTACAGAATAACAAAGTAGGATGTAAAGATGTCAAACTTTACTAGAAATGTAGGAAATCACATTACTGAAGAGGATGAAGGAAACATTTCTGGCATAACTAACTTTGGAGATGAGTATACTCTATAAGACTAAAGGCAAAAAGATCTCTATATGAGGACTGTAACCTTGCTCAAGGTTTTCCCCCTATGGGACTATTCTTTAACAATTCTGATACAGCTGTGGGTGAATGCTGAAACTGAACAGTTATTTAAATAGGTGGAACATGGCAGGAACCAAGATTTAATTGCTGTAACTGCAAGTTACAAGTGAGCGAGATGCATAGACTATAATGACCCTTTTGATAATGAATTAGAATTGGAAATATCAGTAAGTATTTATATTTTACTTAATATACATACTGTTACATTCACACACACAGAGGCAACAGAACACAAATATCAGATAGTATCCAAATATATTTCCTTGCTTTGCCAGTTGAGAAGGTCTAACATAATCACAAACACACCTAGTCTCAGATCTTGGTTTCTGATACCTTTATCCAATTAAAGAGCCAGGATTCCTTTCAGAATGCTAATGTTAGGACTGGAGTAAGAGATATGTCGGATAAGTCTGGAGCATTTTGTAATAACAGAAAGTAAGAAAATTCTTAAAAATAAAAAGAAAACATAATGATAATGGAAAGTCAAATGATATGACAGTCAAATGAAAGAGCCCCCAAACTGGAACAATCTGAGTACCAAAATAAATAAAATTATATAGATTTACTAAGTACACTATAAATAATTGTGATTCCATAGTGACATTAACAAGGGTTGAATCAATGAGAAGAATAAACAAATTTCTCATGCAGGGGACATCAAATGATTTATGTAAACACTCTGCTCTCTCTTAAGTGTTGTTCATAGTGACTTCCTTCCAAACAGGTCAGTATGGAAAGGAAGAGAAGCAAAATGTCACATATACTTGTAATATTATATATTACAAATTATGAAGCCTTATTTTCATTGGGTAACAGAAGTGAAAAATTTTGTAGAAGAAAAATTGTACACGGAGTGTCAAAGGTACAGCTTTTTTGAGTAGATGAAAGTAAGAAACTTTGACTTGTATTTCCTCAAAGCTTCATTTCAGCATTGTCCTTTACAAGTTAAATAATTTTTTGTAACTTACTTAATTTACCTGAAGCCTCAATTCTTCATTGTTCACAACTCATAATGCTCCTAAGTAACAAATAAAACTATTTCCTTGTCTATTCTTTGCCCCTACTACTTAAGAATGACTGTAATTGAACAGAAATACAAGAGAAAATAGAGCACATCAGAATGTCCTAGCTGGAGATGGAGGGATTCGACTAGCCTGAGAATTACTGTGCAATTAATCCAAAAAGGTGGTTATGAACACTTCATTATTTCTAATTAAATGTAGTGTTACTCCTAAGCAAACTAAGGGAGTACAACAAATGCCGTCTGGGTTTCTTGGAAGTTGGTGCAAAGTTCATTTGATATTGGTTGACAACTACTATGTCCTCTGCCCTAAATTAATCTGAGCTACAATGCTGGCAAAAAGGATATCATTCCTTTCCTTAGAAAGTATCCAATCAGTTGAGAGAGTGATGAAGGATAATTACAAAACAGAAGAGAGATTTAATGCCAAACTTGGTGAAAATGTTAAATTCACTGGTCAAGAAAATCAACAAATTCCATGCATATGAAGTATGAAGCAAAACTACACTAAAAGCTTTTATGTCCAAATTGTTCTAAAGCATGATAAATAAACTTTAAAAGATTAAATTCAGCCAGAACAAAAATGGACTCACTTTGAAGAGAAGAATAAAGATGACTGCAGATTTCTAATTGCAAAATAATGCAATTGCAAAGGGCATGGAGCGGTTTGATAGGGATTGCTTACCAGGTACTTTATTATCTTCTCTCCTTTGGGGTAGAAATCAACAAGCTGCTTCTAATATTTATGTGGAAATTCATTAAAAGTTGAACAACTGTACCAACTCTAAAAAGGAGAAAATGTTAAGTCTGACACTACCTGATTTCTCAATTCATAATATATTATAGTAATCAAAATAGTGTGATACGATACAACGATAAGCAACATAATAAACAGTTCAGAAAAATAATTACAACTCATATAATTATGGTTGGTTAATTTTTGAACGACATGCTCAATACACTACAATGAGAGGAAAGGATAATCTTTTCAAAAAAAAGATTAGGGAACAATTGCTAAAACAACTATAAAATGATAGTGTTACTTCAGTACACAAAAAAACCACACCATAACTCAAATTTAATCATACACATAAATTGACAAAATAAAACTAGAAAACTACAGGGAAATATTAAATAAATATCTAAATGTTAAAATAAACATACTTTCCTTATATGACAATTTCATCAAAACTGAAATAGTTTAGCTACTAAAGATACAATTAAGAAAAGAAAAAAGAAAAAATCTGAGAGACAAATATCTGTAATTGTGTACCAAATAAAGGATATGTATTCAAAATATATGAATAATTAAAAGTCAAAAATAGGACAAATGACACAATACAAAATAGGTAAAATTTTGAATGTACATTTCACCAAAAATTATTACAGCAAAAATTTTACAGCAATGTAGAGGCATAGTTTACATAATAAACATCAATTTGGTTTGAACGTCCACTTTCTATGTTTTAATTTTGTAACTGGAACAACTATTTCTAAGATGATAATATGTAATCTATTAACTAGTGATTTCTTACTTTTTTATTTGAAATTTTATATTACTTGTACCCTTTTTCTGTTTCGTTTTTTTCTCTTTAAATAAAATTTAAAAAAACATCAATTCGAACACTGACATATTTACTTAAGATAAAATAATTTCATTTGTATTTACATCAAAAACTGAAAACATTTATCCATAGATTTATACACAAATGTTCTCAGAATATTTTTATCATAGTCCAAAACTAAAAGATCTCAAATATCCTTCAACATTGGTAATACATGTAAAATGTTGTATATACATTAGAATTCTAATTACAAAGAAATGGAAACAAACTATTGATATATACAAAATGGATAAGTATAAAATATTTATATTAAATGAAAAAAAGCTAGACAAAAAAAAAGCTATACTTTGCATGCTTCCATATCCTAGAAGTGGAAACTGGATTTAATTTCAAATGGGATTAAGATAGTCTAGAGGTAACCAAAGGACTGTAAAATTAGAATGTTTATGGTTGTATAACTGTATAAATTTATAGAAATTACAAAAACAAATATAAATGTCTATAAAGTATCTAGCTTAATAATATGTAAACTATTAATTTTTAAATGCAAATAAAAACAATAAAGCTTTAAAAAACAAAATTCAGAAAAAGAGAGAACATTAATAAATAATCTGACATATATGATAGAAATTTCATTTTTCTCAAAAACTCTGATATACACATACATATACATTCATGTATCCACTTCTATTTATATTCAACAATGAATTCTCACATTTGAGAGTGAAACAATAATAATTCAATGAAAATTCTTTCACATTTCAAAATACACAGGAACATACTTCACAATTTATTGTGAGCTAAATAATACTGCCATAGTTAATATACTTCAAAGGTATTAAAAGAAAATTATAAATCAGTATTTGTGTTGAACATAAAGATGTCATTAACAAAATACTAAAAAAATGAATATAGATGCCTATGAAAGTATACTTTAAGAGACCAACTGAGATTTATTTTAAAAATGGTTTAACATTTTAAAAAATCAATCAACATAACACATTACATTAATAGAATAATAGAGAAAAATCGTATGATTATGATCATCTCAATAGATACTGAAAAGCTTTTAATAAAATTTATATCTTTCTTGTCAGGACTTGGGGAATAACTTAGCGTTCTAAGAAAAGAAGAGAACTTTCCTCATTAGAAAAGGCATCTGAAAAATTCATACAGTTAAACATGATAATTAAGTAAAATATATATTTCTAGTATTTCAGAACTGGGTAAATGTATTTCTTCCCCCATTTGCATTTAGAATTATTCCACTAGTCCTAGTTAGTGTAGTAAATTAAGAAATAAAACATAAAGTGCATTAATTTAGAAAAGAAACATATTTATAGACAATATAAAGATATATATAGAAATTCTATGACACTATTATGTGAGTTTGGCAGCGTTATAATATACACAATCAATATTTTAAAACAAGTGTTATTTCTGTATATTTTTAGTAAATAATCTAAACATCAAATTAAAATATTTTAAATGGCATGGAAACTATGAAGATGCAAATAAATGTAACAAATATGCCCAGGAGTTCTAGATTAAAAATATATAAATGTGACTGAGTAAAAGAAGTTTCCCTAAAGTGACTTTATTTTCATGGATATATCGATTTCAATATTGTTAGTTCATCCATTTTTTCTAACATAGGTAATTCAACACAAACCATATTAAAATATCTGATCCTTTAATTTATACAAAGATGTAAGGAGCTAGAAAAGCCATAACAGTCTTGAAAAAGAACAAGAATTTATACGCAGGATTCCAAGTCTGCTATAAAGGTTTAATAATAAAGATGATTTTTATTAGTATAAAAAGAACCAAACAGATAAAATAGGAAGGCTAGAAATAGGCCTACATGTATGGAGTCAACTGACATTTAGCCACAATGCCAAGTTAATTGTAACAGTAAATTACATAAAAAATGTGGATTCCTCATTTTATACACAAAATTAATTAGTTATTAGACTATAGACAAACGTATTTTATATATATATATATATATATATTTATATATATATATGTTTATAGTTATATAAGTTTTTGTCTTAGTTACTTTTCTCTCATTGTTGAGACAAAACACCTGATGTCCAAAGTTAGGGAAGGGACGGCTTATTTCTTAAAGTTGGAGGTTTCAGTTTCTACTCAGTAAGCTCCAAGCAAAAGGGTGGCATGGCAGGGCTGTCGTTCATGGCTCACCAAACAGCAAGGGCTAACTGTACAAAAGGAGAGAGAAGACACACCTTCTTCTTGCCATTACACTATATGGTGGCTCCACCGCTGGGCAGGTGAGGCACTCTTACCACCAATCCAAGCTCTAGACAACAAACGCTAAGTTTGGCCACCTTCAGGATTGCATGAGGCTTGTGGGGGGGGGGTATCTGAACATAAACCATAACAGTTTGACTTCGCTAAGCACATCAGACTTCATTACAAAATGAATAGACAAGCTTCTAACAGGAAAACAGTAGCATTCCTTGAACAAGTCAAACTCATTTGTGGTGAGGAATCTGTTTGCTTTCATAGGAGATGAGGAATGGCACAAGGCACCATTCAGATGGTGCAGAAAATGTTCTGTATCTTGTTTTGAAAACTGCATGCACATAGTTATCACAGTGAACACCTGAAACATAGACAATTCACATTAAATATACCTTAAGTTTAAAAAATCGAGAAATTGAAAGAAAATTTCAGAAGTGTTATTAATATGAAATAGTCTTTGCCTGCCTGGAGAATTCTGCAATAAACCTATGGAGGGCAAAAGGTGATGGAAGAGTGGGCAGTTGATCTTATGAAATAGAAATTAATGACATAATTATAGTCTATGTAGGAAAGTTATAATCTAAACACTTTGAATCTTCTACAGTGTTAATCACCACGAGGTCTAAAAAGGGAGAGCATCTCCAGAGAAAAGAATTTTCTACTAAAAATGCGCATTGATCAAAATTCTTACCAGCAACTCAATCCAGGTATTGTTAACAGGCATGATTCATTATTTTGACAGTTAGATGTCATAACTATCTTTGATCCTTTTCCTTGGGGATATCTTGCCTACAAGTGATAGAAAGTCAGAGCAAGTAGGTGAGCAGGAATCTCTTTTCCTTGGTCTCTCTATTCTCATACAAAAGATAAATATACTTAGCTTCCACCAGTCCCCAAGCTCACTGGGACTATCAAAATACTGGACAGAACGGGAATACTGAAGGATCCTTATTGCTTTTTCCCCTGCCCTGAAATGCAGTCCTCTTGCCTTGCCTCACTACTAGGTAGGTCTCACTGGGGATGACCATCCTGGTGTCCCCTCCACCTTGTTTTCTGCCATCACCTATGCCAGTGAACAACTGGAGAGCATTTCCTTGATCACACAGGGCTTCCAGGAGATCTTCCAGGTATTTCTGCTCTTTGACTAATCACTCATGTCATCTCATCGTTCCTGGAAGTGTGTTGCCTGAGATGATCAGCCATGTCCCCTGCAATAAAACTCAACAGGAAAGCAATAAGAATTCCTTGGTTACAAAAGGAGCCCTGTCTCCCCACCACTTCAATCCATCCTTGTAAACGTTGCAGACTAACTTTCTATATTCCTTTGTGCTTTTAGTGCTATGTGTGGCATGGACAGTAAGTTACTGTACAACTTAAAATAGAAGCTACTTGAAAAGTCACAAAAATAAATTACTTCTTTAGTAATTCCTCTGAGCTTCACTTATGGAGGTATCAGTCACCTAGATTATCCTTTTGGTAAGTCTGGGATCAGGGAAGCAGAATATCAGCAACATAGCCAGGACTGAATTGAATGTTAGTGGCTGAGACAGTAGTGGTAATCAGAATTCTAGTCTTCCACACGAGCTCAGAACATTCTTTTCACACAAAGATGAATTTAGCAGCATGTAATTTTCCTTCTTATCCACTAAATGTAGGATTGAATTAGGGTTTACCTAGAGAGATCTAATTCGTAGCTTTCAAAATAAGCAAAAGCCGTTAGACTACAATGTTGAAATTGTGATCACATTACATATGCATAAGAAGACAGTATCAAGTAAAGCTTTATTTACATTTTCTAAGTGGGTTTTTTCCATTTTATATAAACTAATGAGTTGTGCTGTTAGGGAATATGTGTATTCCTCTTTGTGTAATGGATTAAGTGTAAGTCCTGTTAAACACAAGGCCATAAATCACCCTGTGTTCTCTATGCCTAATTAAGGGTTTAAAGGGAGGAAAGGTAAGTTTTTGAATGAAGGGCTCTACTCAGCAGTTGTATTTGTTATTGCAGTAAAATAGTAGACAGATAAAACAACAAATTTTATCACTCCTCAGTTTTTAAAAACATTTTAGCTGTTAAGACTCCTGACATATCACACAAAATTTATTTGAATTAATGCAAGGAACTGTAATAATATTAAACATTGACCAGATAAACATTTCAAACTATAATTAGGTTTAAGTAGAAAATAGTATGTATTGACAATGTAAATAAAATCAACTGCAGGGAAGTTTTAAAGAAAATAAAAGTTCCTAAATTTCTTCTAATTTTAGATACATATATGTCCACAGAGTACATGGAATCTTAAAATACTAAACTGTTATATATTTCAAGTAAGACTAGAATGGCAACAGTTAATTCACTCTCTTCCTGGTGGAAGAATTTTTCCAAGTTATAACAAAAAATAAGTTTCAGAAAATATATAATCTCTTCACAGTATAAACCAACTTTAAAAAGCTATTTTGAAAAACTTTAAAGTATGTTTCCTATGACATTTAGGGTTTGAATAAGATGGAGAAGTCAAGATTCATTAGCCCATAGAAGTATTACTAATATTTAACTATACATAATTAATAACACTGATATTTGGCTTTATTTCCCTTCTTTTTGTATTATGCCTGCAGTGAAATACAGGACAGAAAAAATTAAGAAGAAAAAAAGAAAATTTATCTTGACTTACTGGACTTTTACTGTATTCACAATAAAAGACAGATTTACAGAATCTCTAATTACGTTTTATTCAGTAAATGTTCGTTCTCTTCATTATGACAAGTAATTCACTTGGTGATAGAAAGTCAGTGAATTTAATAGCACACAAAGGAAGCAAATTGACCACTTTTATGGATTTTCCAGACTTGTTAGGTCTTAATCTTAAGGATTAAGAAAAGATTTTTAGAAAAAAATTATCAAATATTATTTGTAGAATTCAGAAATCTGCAGCTTGTGCATAATATCTCAAAACTAAAATCCATGCTGCATTCTTCCCTGTACCCCTGGCCTACTTCTCACCTTTCATTACTCAGTCCTCACCCCACCTTCTGCTCTGGTGGGGATACATGTGGGAAGAATGGGAGATTTGCATTCATTCTAGATTTCCTAATGTAATGGCCACCTAAAGGCACGGTAGCTGTGTATACAGGAGTTTGGACGGCAAAGCAATTTCAGACTCTCACTCCTGTCTGAAGCATCTAAACTTTTTCATTTCTGGTGAACTTTTGATTAGGCGTCATGCTGAAACTTTGTATTTCTTGAGGGCCCCAGACATGACACAATTACTTCTGTTATCAGATTCTAGAGTCTGTCTTCTCTTAGTATTGGAGTTCTGTCTGAACTTTGACAATTGCTCAGTGCACTATCACCTCTATTTCCTCTTATGTATATTGGCTTTTACTACTGCTTGGGTTCAATATCTATTAAATGTTCATCAATTGTTAAACATGTTGCAATATTTAAAAATAACATTGTAAGCAGGAAAAAAAAACAGTCTACTAGAATTTATGAGAGGAGACCTGCACAAAAGGAATTTGAATTGTTCGATTTGGCATTAACAGCAGGAAAAGAAATGAAGAGAGCGTGGAAATGCAGAAAAAGGGCTGTTACATGTCAATTGAACTCTAGAGCACTCACAATGCCTGTAATACTGAGATGAAGTAAGGGAAGAATTTATAGGCACTTCTAACTGGAACCTCTGCTTTGAATTATTAACTGCACTTTCATTTACAGAGAGGGTTGTAGAAATACATGTGATCCGATATGAACTTTATTGAATGTTGAGTACTTGATAGATGTCATCTATCTGTTTAAATATTTTCCCAGTTATTAATTATACTAGCTGACCTTTGCTGCATTTGTGTTTGGAAAAGCTTTGCACCATTCCTACAAATCTGAGTGTTCAAGCCAATGCAATCTTTGTATTTCATTCCAAAGGAGCTGCGTTTATTAAAAGCTCTAATTTCTCCAGAAGAAAATTATCTAATTAATTTTCATGTAATTTTATTTATACATTTCTTGTGAAGTTTATCACAGTCCATTTGAAAGTACATTCATAAAACTTACCAGATCCCAAAAGATCTATCAGTGACACACATGTATTCTTTCCCTTGCCACAAACATATATTGAGAAAACAAGTGAGTACTCAGGAAAAATAATTGGTTCAATGTACTTAGGTAAATGTAGAAGAAAGGAACATAATAATGACCTCTCTGAAATGGTGGTCTGTCTCTTATTTGACCTATTTCTAAAAATATGTTATTTTAGCATAGAATATTCACCAATGTTTGAAACTAGACCTACCTATATTCACGCACTACAGTGGAAGTAGAATCCAAGAGTCAGATCATGATGTTGGCTATTTATCTCCAGCGTCTTGTTGGAAAATGGATGCACAAACCATAAATACCAATTTAGGTTGCTGAAAGGAGACCACAGTTCTCTGTTCTCATAACCAGAATTACCTTTTCTGTGAAATCATTGATTATGTATGTTTTCCCTTAACTGCCTCCAAAACTTGTTAAATGCTGTTTCACAGAAAAATAACAAATTACATATTATGATCTGGTTGCTTAATATGGGTATCTCAGAATAGAAGAAAAAACAGGGTCAAAGTACTTTAAAAATATATTAATTACTTTAGTTATAAAGAACATTCTGTAGAATAAAAGCAGATGTGAATATGATGCACATTTAAAGTATCTGAAATGTAAAGAAGATAATACACCTGGATAGAGTTATGTAAATTGCATGGGTAAAATTGTTCCCTAGGGATACTTCGGTGTGTCCTCTAAATCCATTTTTTTAAAGAAAAGAAAAATTAGCATAATCTTTGGATATGTCCTTATACTGATGCATAGCATTTTCTTATTCTAATGCATTAATAAAACAAACATTTTAAAAGAATTAGCATATGCAACTCTTTATGATTACAAATTATCTGTTTAATTTTGTAATCAAATATTTTTATTGCTTCAATCATTCGACAGTGTTCTCAAAGGAATCGCATGACTATAATCGCTCTCACTCTCAGGCATGTATCTTTTCATTAGATTTAAGTATTCATTTCTTAGACATGATTACTTATTTTTAATAGTAGGAGATAGTACAAACAGCAGGGGATTAGGAGCAAAAGACTTGAGTTCAGTTCTTAAAACTGATTTATCAAGGAAAGTTGGACACATTCTGATATTTTTGTGGTTCCTTGTCTGCGCAGAAATGAAAATATATTGCCGTTTTGAGAAACTGATAATGTATACGAAAAACCACAAAGTATTATTTACATGCTGTTACTATTGTGGCGCAGGAAATAACTTTAGATAAATAGCCTGCTACAAGTCATCTTTTTGTTTTGATACTAAAGACAGGTATACACGTAATGAACGTGTGGGTCAAAGTGTCATTCTTTTCTCTGCTTAACAATTATGGTACTTTACAAACCAAACAATTGAGCGATGTAAGCAGCTGGAAAGATTAATACTTTAAACTTTTTAACGCTTTTTTGTAATTCATTAATAGTAATCTTACGCCTCATATCCCAAGGCGGGACATTATGAGTAATTTTTTTTAAAAACGCAAGCTTTAGCTTTTCGAGTGTTTGCACATGCATCATTCTTTACGCTGTGAATGAAGCCTACACGCTACTGAAATATAATTAGTACGAAGCAGTGGCAGTGCATTGCTGCGTGGCCCGGCTCTTTGGGCTTGCATTGTTCAAGATCGCGAAGGTGGCTGGCTCAACCTTGTACCAAGTTGCACATTCATTATTAGCTCTGCATCCGAAAAGACTGGTTCTGTTCTACAGGGCTCTGCGAATTCACCCACTTAAGCGGAAACAGGGTTAAAGGAGTCCAGCAGAGGGGAGTAGTGCAGAGTGCAAGTGAGTGTGTGTGCGTGTGTTGTGTGTGTGTATACGCGCGCGTACCAGACCTAGGCGCCGAGTTGCGGAGCTCACTCCCCACACAAGTTCCAAAAGCCACCCGGTCCGAGTTTCGGCCCTAGCGGGACAGCGGGACGGAGGCGGATCCGCCAGCCCAGAGGGGGCAGCGCCGCGGGAACCTGGGGGCTCGGCTGGAAGCCGAGGGGTCTCGCGAGGGTTTCAGGGCGTGGCTGGAGGAGGGGGCGCGCGGCGAGTGTGCGCGGGTGTGCGCGCGCCGAGGGCGAGTGTGAGCGCGGCGAGTGTGAGCGCGGAGGCGAGTGTGCGGCCGCGTCGCCATTCCCCGTGACGTCAGAGTGTATTGTTGTGCGCGGGGCCGAGCGAGCATCCCCGGAGCTGTCACCGCGGCGGCCGCGGCGGCGGCGCAGCACGAGCCCCGCACGAGCGAGCGAGCGAGCGAGCCGGCCCGGCCCGCGCCTCCCCGTCCCCGCCCCCGGCCGGGGCCCCGCGCCGCCGCCGCCGCCGCCGCTCCCGCCCCCGGCCCGCCCGCCCGCCGCGCGCCGCCGCCGCCTCCCTCCGCCGCGCGCCCCCACCCGCGCCGCGCGCCTCCCTCCTCCCTGCGCCGCCGCCCGCGCGCCTCCCCCCCGCGGAGCGAGTGCGGGTCACCGGGTCACTGGGTCATTGTCTCCGCGCCCGCACCCCAGCGCCCCGTGGAATCCCCCACGTCATCAGCAGCACCATCAATGAGATGCAAACATGAAAGACAAGAGGAAGAAGAAGGACCGCACCTGGGCCGAGGCTGCCCGCCTGGTACGTGCCGCCCCCCGCCCGCCCGCCCGCCCGCCCGCGCGTCCCGCCGCCCCGCCGCTCCCGGGCTGCCGCTTCCACCCGAGCCGCCGCCCGCCCACCCTCTCGCCCGGCTCCTGCTCTTTGTTATTCCGCGGGAGTGGGCTCGCCCGGGGCCCCTGTGTGTGCGTGCGCGCGCGGAGAGCGCCGCGATCGTCTCGGGGAGCCCGGCGCGCCCCGCACCGCCCGGGACACTTCTCCCGGGACTTCGCGGCGGGCCGCGGTGCCGTCTCCACCCGCGGAGCTCCGCGCGCTCGGCGCCGCTCCACTTCCCTCCCGGCCGCTCCGGAGACCTTTGTGTGGCAATTACCACTCCCTCCCGGCCCCTCCACCCCCCGGAATTTCATCAATAACTCTGTGCACGGTCTGGGTGTGTGTTCGGCGTTTGTGAGTTCAAACATTTCACACGTGCATGTGCGGTGTGTGTCCGACACGGACTTGTGGGGCGTGTGCATGTGGGGCTGGATCGTTGCGTGTCTGTGTGCCGTGTCGTGTGCATTATGTATGAACACTGATACGTGCGAGTGTTTTGTGTGGATCCAGTTCGCAGTGTTTGTAGGTATTGTGCTCTGCTCGATGTTTGTGAGTACGTTCTGTGCACGTGTGTGCAATTCCTGTGTGTATGTGTGTGTCGTGTGTGTTTGGTGAAGTTGGTCACTGTCATTTGCCGTGGGAGGGTAAGAGTGTGCGGCTAGGTGTGTTTTTACTGCTGGCTTTCTGGGCGGTGTTTCTTGGCTGCTTTTCTTAACCTTTCGGAGCTTACGTTTTAATCATCGAAAGAATGTCTCTATAGAAATGCTGGCTGGCAGAGGGGCGTCGGCGTCTTTGGTTTGATGCATGTATATATGTGGGTTTTTTCCTCTCTCTCTCTCTCTCTCTCTCTCTTTCTCTCTCTCTTTCCCCCTTTTCTTTTCCTCCTCATCTTCTTTTAAAGAACAGCTATAAACGGGATTTTAAAAACGA